TGGGGGGAACTTCTCCAGGGAAGCATCTACATTGCTAAGAACAGAATCCTGCTGGCTTATTTGAGCACTTTGCAACCTGGGATTTCAATGAGGAGTTACTGCATGTTATTTGTGATATTTTGACCTAGATGATAAACTACAGATGGGAAGTCAGTAGTTGTTTTGTATGCATTGTGTTCTTGTATTTCAACAAAGCTCCGTTTTTCTTTACAAAACAACTGCTATGGTATTGTTGTAATGTCTGATGCTGACATTCTGTGAGGGTGATATTATTTCAAGTCATGGAGTCTAATTACATTTTTACTAGATGGTATTCCTCAGTAAGCCCCCAGCTGTCAGCTGAGATCAGCTCCCGTCTCCTCAAGGAGAAGTGGGTATAGCTGATGGATGGATGGTGTTCCTCATGTAATTAAGGCATTGTTGGTGGTGTGGTGTGCTGTAATAAGTGTGTTGAAGTGTTCTTTGAAACGATGTGCAGACAGTGTTTAACCTACTTACAGTACAAAAACTACACATCTGTTGTCAGTTATTGAATATGTCAAAACAATCGTGCATTTTATTGAATAACACGTGGTCACAACAGAAGCCCTTTACTTTCTGGTCACCACTATGTTAGAAACAGCTTCCATACTAACCACGTCTACTGTCATTCTGCATGTCACACCAACCAGAACATCAGCAACGTTAATCAGTGCAACAAATCTTGTGGGGGCAACTTTGGGTGTACATTACCATGGCGAAACAAGCTGTACACTGGAGCAAGTTAGATTCAGCCTTTTGATTCCACAAATAAAAGTCCTCATGATTCATCGCTGCAGAAAAACACCATCATCGCAGCAGGTCAGATGGATTGAAACTACAAGAAGGAACTAGAGCGCTAATAGCCCATGTATGAATGGCAAGTGTCAAAACAGATTCACTTCAGTTCCCCTGATAGTTTATCGCAGAAGAAATAACATATTTGTAGTATTTCCAGAGCACACGCGCTATGGATATAAAATATTACTCCCAAGAAATAGCAGGTACATTGCATCACATTATTGGAATATTAATAATTAATGAATTTTAGTTTTGGGCTGACATTTTTCATTTGAGTGACTGCAGCAATAGATTGTACCCACATTCCCATTACCTCAGCATGAGGCCATCTTAGTGAATACACAATCCTTTCACATCTGCAGTGTGGTGACACAGTACTGCATCAAAGGTTTGAATACGTTGCTTCAGTGGCCAGCACTGACAGGACTGTTGATTAATAAGGGTGACTGTGGTTCAGTGGGTAGAGCAGTCATCTCCCGACTGGAGGGTTAGGGGATCGAATCACAGTGCCTGCAGTCCACATGTCAAAGTGTCCTTGGGCAAGACACTGAACCCCAAGTTGCCCCCAATAGTTAGAGCCATCAGTGTGTGTTGGCGCCGCAGATGGCTGCCTCGGTTCTGTACCAGAAACAAATTCCATGTGTGTGTAACATACTTGGTCAAATATAGTGATTATCCTATGCTTAATATTTGTATTTATTTTGTGTGTATTTTTCTTTCTTTTTGAATTTTATAATGCTTTTTACTTCTTTTTAAAATTTATTTTGACTGCAAGATCAAAAATTATAATCATCAAATTTTCCTCAACGTACCAAGCTTTTAAAGTCTGTAAAAAGTGCTGAAATCATCTGCAGCATATTGTTAAATAATCCTACAATCAGATGAGTATATATATTCTGTTGGTTGGAGATTATTATTTTGTTTTACAGCAAGGTGCCAGTACTAGGCTACTTTTACCACTGCAGCAAACATATTTCCCATCAGAGATACATAGAATTTGTCTTATCTCACATTAAAAGTACTCTCTACAGTTTTTTGTAAATAGACCTATGTTTACATTCAGCATTCTTCACCATAACACATCATGTGTATCCTTGAGGTCTAACAAACATTTAGAGTGTATTCCCTTTCACATAAAACATTTGCAGAGCTTGTTTTAAAAAACTGGAATCCTACATTGTTAGCCATGTTTGCTAGCTAGTGGTGCATCAATACCACTCAAGTACATGAGTACAAGTATGAGTACTGATACAAGTAATAATACTATGTTACCATAAAGTACAGTAACTTTAGAGATAGTCTTTGTTTTCATCAGATTTACATTCTGATTGTGATAAAATAAAATATTTAACAGGATGCTGTGATAACACAGCCCTGACACCATTCCTATTGAATATAATGGGTAACTGACTGAATGTCTACTTTTGTAATACAGTGGTTTTTAACCTTTTAACCTCTGCTCATCCTCAGCCTCCAGGTCCACAAGGATTCAACTTATTTTCATACACAATGCTCAGACTCTATTGGTAACGACAATTCAGTACAATCAGCATAACAGCATAGGTTTAGTGAATGAACAGGACCAGGCATTTTGCAACTAGGAGAGTGATGGCATCGCATTTCTGCAAGTTTGTTGTTGTGTTCTGCTTGTTTAACAGGTCTTTGATTAATTACTCTCTACATTGCTGATGTCCTGTTTTATCAAAAATAGGAGGAGAAAAGTCCGCCTTTGATGACCTAGTAAACAGTCACAAAGAACCTGTCAAGCATCTTACACGTAACCATATACACATACTCCCCTTCAAGCTTAAACAAATGTAAACAAAGGAGTAACTAGCAGAACCTTCCCAAAGTCAAACATGTCAACCAGACATCTCATCCAGGCGGTGCTTCTCCTGAGGATACATCATTTAAAAACATTTTCATATTGTCAGTTTTATGATGTCAAAGCCAATGAACCATTAAGCTTTTGATGGATATTTATAGCTTCTTAATACAAATAACATTACCTCCACTGAGGGTGGGAGTGATGTCTTTGTTGCCATTTGTTGGTTTATTTGTTTGCTAACAGCACAACTCAAAAAGTGAAGAACAGATTTGGATGAACTGTTTTGGAGAGGTAGGGTACGGGCCACGGAACAGATTTGCAGCCAGGCTCAAAGATGTTTTAATTTTGATCTTAGGACTGGTATTATGTTTATTATGTTTTTCAGGTGACAAAGTAACCACTTAAGTTGATAATACATTATGTGGTCAGTCTATCCAAGTAATTAAAAATTTGTTCCAATGTTTTTGGAGTTGTGAGTACTCGTTATCTGACCAAGCTAGCTCTATTAGCAGGCAGCCACATCTCATTCAGAGCACAGTAGTCTGTCGGCGAGGACGCCAGTGTTCCAGCTGCACATTGTGAGCACTGTGTCCTCCCATCCTCAGCAGTTTTGTCTTCAATGTCAAACTTACTACTACAACCACCTACTGTGATTGTAAAAAAAATGTGCATCAGGAAATGGAGACAAGAACATATGTAGTATGGCATATATTTGTATATTTCACATCTGTCCAACACAACACACTCCCAGAACACAGCAACTGCCAGCTACTTTGTATATGTGGGAACGCCCCATAGTGTAGCAGGAGGCCTGCTGGAAAACAAACTCTACAGTGGACTTAGAATTGTCCACATATTGAGACTTGTGTGAGTCTATGAAGGACCCTTAAGTACACATTTTTAGCCTGCATGGAACATTTACAAGCCGAAATCAGAAAAAGCTGGATTGGTAAGATCAAAACTGAATCTGAAAATAGTGATGTGTAAATTATCTGTCTATTACATTGAAAACAATACAGCAGCACATTATTTGATGTTATACCTCATCAACTTCATTCTTTATTCAAAATAAACACTCGTGTCAATTCTGATTTTTCATACCGTCCCCTTTTTCTGATTTTGGATTGCATTTAGCCATTCATGCGATTTAGTAATCATTCATGCCTATTGTTTTTCTCAATTTTCTTTCAAATTAATAATGATACCAGCAACATTCCAAATGCCAGCTGTAGGTTTTCATGGTCAAGCAATCGCATTATGAGGGTCAGACTCTCATGGAAATATTGCTTTTACGGCATTATGGGGAAATTGAATTGTCCCTTGACAAAGGTTAGTGCTCACTTACCCTCTTTTTGACTGAGAGAACCAGTTCGGTTCCTGTTCATGAACCAAGTTCTGAGCATTTCTACCAAAAACTGTTGGTTTGGAATCTAAAATTTTGATTTTCTCCAAGAACTAGATGCCTGCCGGATTCAAACTGGGATCATGATGACCTCGCCATCATCAGTGGGTGTGTACAACACATGCAACAGCAAGAAAGCAACACAGAGCTGTAGAAGCAGCAACAACAACAACATGGAGACAAAGTGTGTTGCCTGGTCACAGGTAGACTGTGTGGATGAATGTGAATACAGAGTAACATAACTTTGCAGATATATCATACTGTCCACCATCTTGACAGTTGTCACTGGTCAAAATATGCAACTGGTGTTTTGGTCCCAAAAAGACTTGGCTCACCAACAGGAACTGAACTGGTTTTCTGTCAATCAGCATCTGCGTGCTGTCCAATATTAACTAATGAACTTGGTACTGTATAGTTCATCATTTACTTTGCTCCCTTCAAATTAATGTAGCCTATAACAAGGATCCAGGGACATTTGTAACTGTATATACTGTATGTTTTACTACTGGAAACATGCTCATCCTGTGTTGTTATAAACAGTACCAAAACAGTAGCAAACAGTAAAAAGTCTTAAGTGAAAAGAATTATTATTGATATCAAGAGTCAAATTATGTTTTATGTTTAATGTAATTAAGTTATGCAAATACTTCTCTCAGTCTATTAAGCTGTTTATACACCTATCCCTTGGTGGATCTCAGACTGTCTGGTCTACCATTTGGGAGCTGTGGATCTGTCAGTCATCATCAAAGCCTTGCAGTTGCTGGGCTTATTTGTGTGAAGAGCTTATAAGGCAGTCTGACAGAGTGAAATATTCTTATCCATAAAGCACATCAAATACCTTATCACACACTCCCTGCACTCTAATCGTTTATGTGCTATTGTGCAGCACATACTGTGTGTGCTGCTTGTTTTAGTCATGCAAAGACTAAGAAAATAATTGCCTTCACAGAATAAAGTGCATCATATTTATTTGTTTTCCTTACACCACCCTATCAAACTCATGCCTTTCTCCTTACTATGACATACAGACACAAAGAGCACCCACATGATCCCCTAAATTCATATATTTAAATGTGGAGGGTCAGGTTCTCATCACAGTAACACCTAAATCTCAGTTACAACCTCTCCTTTCTGGGTGGTCAATAAGTAAAGAGAGACAAGTAAAACTGCATAAAACAATGCAGAAGAATACAAAAAGCACTAGTCAAACTCAAAATTAAAAGTAAACTGAAAGAATGACAAAAGGAAAGCAGGTGAGAAAAATGGTGGGAATGTAAGGACATACTGGTGACACAGCTGTTTATAATGCTGACCATTGTAATCACAACAGCCCTGGTTTAAGTCCCTTCATCTTCTGTCAGCCTTCTGCGGTCTAATAAAGTTATAAAATGACCAGATGGTAACAACTGCAAAAGAGCGTGCAACCCAGTACACAGCTCAACTGTATATTCAGCATGCTGTTCAGAAAGAAAAACCACATTGTGTGGGCCTTTTATGTCACCTCAAACTCTAGAGAAAGCAGCAGCATTGAAGGATGCTCAAGGCACTCACGAAACTGCCTCAACATTGTTCACAGTCACACCAGCAGGAGGAATCTTTAAACGCTGGTGGCAAATAACCTGGGCTCTATAATTCAGCAGGGGAACTGGGAAGCATTTCCTCTGTATGTGGAAGGAGAACAGAGAGACAGAAGAAACACCACAATCACTGTGGAAGAAAAAAGACAAAGGAAAAAGGCAACAAAAGGCAAATAAAAAATAACACTGGATTATGGTTCTACTGTATCTGCAGGAGATTAAGAAAGTGTGAGGGAGGAACAGTCAGAAAATCAGTGGGAGCCACTGTAGAGGGGACACTCACAATTGCTGTGATGGAGTGGTCTTATTCCCCTGAGCCCAGAGCTGCTGCACAGCAAGATGACTTAGCCAGTCTGAACATTAAGGCAGTTATGAAAGAACTGCAACTGTTAATACTGTTGTTTTCATTGTGTTGGGAAGGAAGTAGCATCCCACTCAGTGCTAATATTATCATATGACAAAATCCATTTCTCAGTGGAAATTATTCTAGGCAGTCCCTGGGTCAATACTGCATTTGATTAGTGGGGGCCTATTGTCGAGGTATTTTCATTCAAGCTATCGCAGCTCACTCTTAGCCTTAAGAGCATGTGATGTTTGTTCTTTTAGGTTTAGTCTACAGTCATTTTGTTTTTTGGGATCTTTTGATTGTTTTATACTCTTTAATGTCTCCTTAATGTCTGTCTGTGTATTGGGGTCCACAAGAAACAACATTTCATTTCCCTTTATACTGCATGTCATGCATATCTGTGGAATTGACAATAAAAAGGAACTTGAACCTGAACCTGGCTCTGATATGTGAGCAGGAGCCAGGAGGCTGCTTGTGTGAAGCAAGGAAAGAAAGAACAAATATACACTCAAGTACACACACTGAACAAACTTGCACGCACACACTTCTACACACTGCAGAAATCAGGACTTGCACCTTCACATTAATCAATACTATTCTTAACAAGGCTACAGTTCTTAATGGTTCAACTTGCAGCCACACACACACACACACACACCACATTTCTCACAGGGAAGCCCTGATTAAGTCATAGCTGCTTCCTTTCCTAAAATGGAGTGTTGGGTCAGAGCTGAGCTGAGCAGAGAGGGGAGGAGAAGATCTTTAATAACAGAGAACGACGGCCTCTGGGGAAAGACCCCTGGAGAGAGCAGTCCACCACTGTATCTGTCTAAGCACACAGCCAATGCTGCTGTACTGCACACAAAGCTGCTCAGGGGGTTATGTTAACCACCTGTGTTCACAAATATGTTTGAGAGAAGGACTGATGGAACAAGATGCATCAGGACTGTGGTGATGAAGAATAAGGGGGGGGGGTATGTGTATAGCCATGTGTTTAAAAAGTACATTTCATCACCTTTACTGCAGATGACAAATTTATCCTTTGCTGAGACATCTGCAGAAGTAATGGATTTTTCTTATTTTACACCATATGCCAGGGGGTGGGGGTGTGTGTGTGGGGGGTTGTCATCAAAGTACATTGTGGCCTTGCACACTAGATTTGAACAGTAGAGTCATCTAAATAAACAAACCATTGTTTTTCCTGATAAAAGGAAGGTCAAAAGCAGCACAGAGATGGTTTATTTTGTACCAGATTGCTTGAATTCACCCAGCTCCATGCACACTGACACCCACACACATCAACATTCACAAACACATAGACAAACTCAACTCTCTGCTAGCCAGGAAATTCTCTTTGATATTTTCAGTAATTTGCAAACCTCAGGAGAGCAGAGGTGAGAAAATAATGAATGAAAGCAACAAAGTTACAAAGATGTAACCATTTGCAACCATTACTAAAAGCCTCAGTCTGTGCTTCCCCTCTTTTTCCCTTGACTAAAAATGACAGAGAGATAGAGAGGGGGTGGAGGGACTAAACAAGTGTCTGAAATCAACAGAAGCAGCGGGGCCCTCACAATTAAAATTAGGAAGGGAGATGTAATGATGGGTGAGATGGCTTGTTTCATGTGTGCCTGGGAGGGGGGGAAATTAGCAAATGAGGACCTTTCTCTCTTCTCCTTTGTCTTTCTGACTCTCTCTCCCTCATTTTTCAAGCACTTTATCAGCAGGCCTTTAATTTCATGCAACAATCAGTGAGTGCCTCTACCATGCTGCATCCTCCCAGAACACAGAGCTCATGTTGGGATGCTTCCTCATCAGCCAGCCTTGTACTCTACTTGCTGTGGCTGGCAAGCTGTGGAATACATTCACGCAATCTGTAGTACACAAATACATGTACAAGCTACTACATGATCACACACATAACTCAACTGTTAATTGATTAGCCAAATGACAGAAAATAAAAAAAGAGTAATAAAGTTGATAATCAAGTTTAAACATTAATACAACTTGGGTCTTACTTTTAGTCATGCTAGCATCATGGCTCCATGGAGGGCAATGTCGGGCAGTCAGTCACTTTTGTCCAGATGAAATATCTCAACAACTTCATTCATGTTTCCTAGAGCCTGAATCCCACTGACTGTGGTCCTCTGACTTTTCCTGTAGGTTAACACTTTCGGTTTTTGGTGAAATGTCCAGACAACCCATGGATGAACTGTCATGAAATTCAGTACAGACATTCCTGGCTGCCTCAGAAATTAATTAATTAGCTGATCTCTTAACATTTCATTCAGTGACACCACTCTTGGTCTTGCTGTAACTTTGGTCATCATTCCTTTTGGTAATAACAATATTGTGCTTGCCAAGTTATTTGCTGGGTTCTTGGAATATGGTGACATCACAGAGAAAAAGCCGAATAAGGCAAAAAAAAACAAACAAACACAGAAGCCATGAGACAATTAGAGAGGTTTAAACCATCCAAACTAGTTCCAGCTTACTACTTTGGACTGTGGGAGGGAGCCGGAGTACCTGGAGAGAACCCACGCAAGCACGGGGAGAACATGCAAACTCCACACAGAAAGGTCCGAACCCGGAACCTTCTCGCTGTGAGGCAACGGTACTAACCACTGTGCCACTGCGCCACCGTGCTGCCCTACTCTGATTTATACGATTTAAATCAAGGTGTGTTATGCTAATAGCAGCTAATGTAGCCTCAGGCTACTAGCCTGAAACGGAAATGAAGACCAAAGCTAACTTTTAACTTCACATTCCAAGATTTTCAAATTGGTCTTCAGCCACAACCAGCATGTTTCAACACTTGATATCTTAAAGCTTAGACTTAAAGCTGCTCCTTCTGGATCCACATAGCTTTATAAAACTTATAAAGTACTTCTCAAGACCATTAACAAGACATTACTGTAAAATCAGTGGAAACCATAGCCTCGGTTAAAAAACGACAGGCAACATTAACTGCATATTAACAGGATGCCAACTGCAATCTCCTGCATGAACGTCAAGCACATTACACCTTTTTCTTGCTATTCAATTGAATTTAATAGACTAAATGAAAACTAGTCATTATTTGCAGCTATAATATAACCTGCAAATCTGCTCTCACCCCACAGCTCAGGTTTACTGCTTCAGCATCCCACCCTTCACACATACAGCACCTTTTTAAAACATGGAGATTCTTTCTTCTCAAAGGTCAGATGAAGTATGACTCACCCACTCCCCACAGGAGTACATTTTATGTGTCTCATACCAGGGGCAGAAGAACAAATCACAAGAGTGGGTCAAGACTTTCACTGAAGTTATTAAGCAAAAACCTTACAGTCCTCCAGAGGGTGGCAAAGGCTGAAGCCACCAGGGCATGTGCTTTAATTTTAGCATAAGAAGAAGAAAGAACAGCTGCTGTATAATAAGCAGGAGGAGAGAACAAGTTGAACTTTGACCTCAGCTCCCTTTATAGATCCTTAAAGACCTTGGGACAGTGAGGAAGGAGATTGATGATGGCCATTTTGCTTAATGAGCTCAAGAGAGAGCCATCCCTCCCTCTGAGGGGAAGCCAATCATTTCCTGCTGTTTTTTTTGTCAGTGTGACCTGCTGCAGTGGAGCCAGCTCCAACTCCATTCTACTTTGGACACATCAATTAAATCAGCACTGAGCATCCAAATTATTTCCATCTATGTCTGAAAATAGCAAGAGACAGGTGATAAGGGAAATCCATAAATGCATACAGATTTGCTCAGTGAAAAACAGGCTGGATTACACCACAAACCATGGTTTTACATGACATGAAAGCATGTTACCTATGTGGTCCTTTTCAATCCTTTTAACACGATTTAAACTTTTCAAGCAACACTATCATTCAGTGCCTCAAACAGAAGTCACTGTTTGATGATAAGATAAAAGGTAGCCATGGAAACAAGAATTATTTTCTGAGATGCGGCCACTATGGGGGAAAACTTGAGGGAAACAGAGGAAGAGAATGGGCAGGAATAAGAAAGAGGCAGTGTGAGACCATGAACTGTATATAAAAATGGACTACGCATCACCACTTCCCTCCACTATGCAAAAATGAAGCCAAAATATCTTGAACAGGGCAGCTGTCATCTTGGCATTTTGCAACCAGGTTCTGCGCAGTAGCGACTGAGACGTGGAGTGATGTATCAGGCCGTCAATCAAAGCCGTCAAATCATCCAAAATACACCCCTTTTTATATCATCAAATAACTTATCAAAAACAAATTTACCTGAAAAATGACCACAAGTCAGCTTGATAATATCTAGCAAAAACCACAGAAATCACCTCTGGGAAAATTTTGATTTGTACTTTGAGTTTTTAGTATGGCTTATGTCCCATCTGCTAACATGAAGGGTGCGAGTTCTATGACCTATGCAACAGTGGCTGATTCTTGTTGGCTTTACTTCTGGAAGCTGTCACCTTAATCTATGTTTAATACAGTCTATGTGTGAGACAGAAACAGAGAGCGAGATAGAGTGAGAATGAAACCTGCAAGATCCTTAAAAATGTGATGGAGGCCATGAAAAGCGCTGAGGCAGCCAGAAAGTCACTGTTTGTTGTAGCGTGTGTTCATCTGACCTGTCAATCTGGGTTACCCTACATTACAGAAGAGGAAACAGTCAGACCAGAAAGGGTACAAAGGCTTTATATGCAAGCTGATCATTTGTTTCTCAGTTCCATCTCCCTCTCTCTGTTCTAGAGTGAGAAATAAAGAGAGGAAGGGAAGGGGTGATCACTTGGGTGTCCTCTTTCTTTCATCCTGTCTTCATCTTACCTGGAGCAGTGCAGTTCTTAGTTTCTTCACTTTCTATTTCCTCCAAGCTGTTGTTGTCCATTTCCTGCAGTAGCCTTCTTCCTCCCCATGTCTCCTGTTCCTCGCTGGTCTGGCTGGAGACGTCAAAACCTGGTTTGTCACAGAAACAAAAGTCTACATTCATGGGACATTTCAGTACAGCTGTAACATGTAGATCTAACACCGCATCTGAGTTTCAGTACTGATTCCAAAACTATCCTTTGTCTTTAAATGGCATCGACGAATTTGAACACAACTTAAATTAATTAGCCTAGAATGGCAAAAAAAATTATTTATATCAAAAACTATTTGGATAAAGAATAAGTAAAGGTATGATAATAACAATTTTACAAGTTCAATGCCATGTCACAATGGCTCTAAAAAAGTTACGGTCTCAATCTATGTAATCTGTGTTTGGCTGTAGTATCATTTTTGAGGAATGTCAGTTGTTGCAATGATAAAGTGCGTTAGTAATGAGTAGTAAAACCTGGAACTGAGTCAGCATGTTTGCACTTCCAGTTCCCTCACCCTGAAGTCAATGGGTTTTTTTGAATAGGTTTGTGGTTAGACACCTGAAATAAGGTCAATACATTTTCAAATTTTGTTATATGACATAAATACATTAGTAAATACCCCACTTGTGATTTTTTAAGCTTTTATGTCTTTAAAAAGGTGGTTGTTAAAAAGTGTCTAAATGAGGAGGTTGTCAGGAATATTAAATGTCTTTAGGCTGAACTCGGAGACCCATCTGTTCTCTAGTCCACCTTTATAGCCCCATTGTGTTTATAATTACGCACTTGCATACTATTCTAACTGATACAGCCAGGATCACTAGCTAGATCAAGGATCTTGTAAAAGAAGTAAGGGTTATGAATCAGATTACAAGATGAAAGTCATAACAGTGGTGTTCACTTGTGAAGATTATCTTGCTGAACAAAATATGTAAGTGTCATAAACCGTTTTTTGTCACAGAGCTGATTTTCTGTAATAATCCAAAAGCCTGTGGAAAAATCCCATTGGCTGACCTACAAAAATGCATCATTCCTACAGCACTCTATTATCTGGTCAGTGATAGTGCTGCAAAGTAAATAAGAAAGAAAAAAAAGCTGGAAATAAAGATATGTCAAAAAGTCACATCATCCATCTACACTGTTCTGGTGTTTAGAAAATGTAAAACAAAACAGGGTTTTACAATGCCCTGGCAGCTTTTTAATTTAAGAATTAATTACATTTAAATTAATAAACTAAATTTAAAAAGTCACAACCAAGAACAAGATGGCAACATTAAATGTTGATTTTGCAAAGTTGATTGGCGACTCTCTTGATTGTAGGTGTGAATGGGCATATGAATGGTATGCCTAGTCACAGACTGTCGACTTATCCAAGGTGTACCCCACTTCTCACCCAGTGGCTGAAGGGACTGGCTCCAGCCGTCTAGTCTAAAGCTTGGTCTACATATCCAAACTGACCCGGACCCAAACATAATTTCAAAATTTCTGTCCGAACCCGGCCTTGAACCCTCGGGTACCAACAGATCCCATCAGGCTCAGTTTGGGTATCCACACTCTACTACACAGAAAGTCAAGAATGACCTCCAGGATGTAAACATACTGTAGGTTTTCTTGTCAAAAATCAGGAGAAAACTTGATAATGAGGTTGTCATTGGTTGCTGTATTGATCATTGTCAAAAGAGTCTTACAGCACAAACTAAACTAAAACAGTAAACTAAGTAAACTAAAACAGTTTTGACTGATGGCCTAAGATTTGACAGCAGCGCTGTCACGATCACCATTTGCCTGGGACAGCCCAAAATTACTAATTAAAGTAAAATATGAATCTGAACAAGCATGCATGGCCTGTTGTGTTTACAGTGTGTATGACACTATAGACAGGGGTGGTTAAAATCAAGAATACGTGGTGATATTACATTTAAAAATGCTTTTGCGTACAAACGTTTCTGGCACTTTGGGATACTTTATCGACTGAAACTCAAGGTTTCTTCATGTATCATTGGTAAAATCATCATTACAAGCATGTTAAAGTTAATAATGTGTTGTTAGCTGTGTAAAATATTATGCTTGTCGGTTGTGTAGACTTAATTTTTTAATTAACTGATTTCATTAGCAGCTACATTGTGTTTCTGTTTCTAGGATTCTTATCAATTTACCGAAATGTCACCATGTTAAGTAACTACTTTGGTAATCCACCGCCTGCAAAGAAACACCAGACTGAACCTGAACACAAGAGATGTGTATTTGCTGAGAAGTGGCCACATCAGCTTCCATGGTGATGACCGCACAGTGATGTGGTGCTAGACATGCTGTATAAATCCCAATATTGCAGATAAAAGCAGCGCCGTTTATTTAGAGCCAAATCATTTTTAAGAGAATGGATGTGTATAAAGGAAGCAGGAAGAGGTCTGACAGCTTCATCTGGGTATGACTTGGTCAACATAATGACAACAAGCAAATCACAGTTACTCCAACATTCACAAGGTTCTTCTGTTCCCCTTACACTGCCCCTGAGCAATGCTGCATGTGAGAGGGGATTTTCACATCTCAGTACAATAAAAAGCAAGTACATGTCCTGCCTGTCAGATTCTCACCTTTCATCACTGATGTATGTCCACTTGTCTAAAATGACAACAGAGACTGGTGAACTACAGCCAGCTGTTGATTTATAGATGCAGTCAGCTCATTACAGGTTCAAGCAGGAAAAAAGGCCCAGATCATCATCCGAAAGGTTGAAATAGAGGAATACAGCAATAAGAGCAGTGAGGAGAGTAGTAATGATGACAGCATGCAGGATAACTGTGCCATGTACAGTGTGAGTCCCAAGCAAGATCACCAGGTGCTCCTTTGATTATGCACACCCCTGACTATAAAGCATTTGCGGCACAGAGGGGCAGCCTGCTGAAACTGCTGTATACATGCAGTGTTAACTATAATATGTTCAGTGAACTGGTGTTTGTTCAATAGAGGTTGCCTGTGTACTTCTGCACACATGAAAACATCACATGGCCAATTTTTGGTGCTCAACAGTTTTCATTAATATTACACACTTTGGTCAGTACGAATAAAGCAGCCTATTGACCGAAGCCATTTAATATCCATTCCTAATGCAATGTCACCTTTTATGTACAGCAGAGCTCCACGCTGACCAATTAAGCTGATGAAGGTTTGTCTCCTTGGACAAAGAAAGAAAGATGAGTAAATATTTCAGCACATTCACAATATAGCCAATTTTGCTGTCATGGTTGTAGCTTCTGTGTATACAGTAGGTTCCAAATTGTGCATCAAGCAGTTTGTTTTATTTTGAGATGCTACAGCTGTATTGTCACATTAAACTTTGAATCTTTATGTAACAGTGGGGTACGGAACAGCTGGAGGAGTGCACTACAGATGTGTCAGTTTGGTATCTTCCCCCTTTCTGCTGCCACCCTCATCAGTCCATCCATTATCTGTACTGCCTATCCTGAAGAGGGTCGCCAGGGGGGCTGGAGCCAATCGCAGATGTCATTGGGTGAGAGGCGGGGTACACCCTGGACAGGTCACCAGTCTAACACAGGGCTGACACTTAGAGACAGACAATCACACAAACCCACACTGACTCCTACGGGCAATTTGGAGTCACCAATCCTGATTCATACACTGAAGGGGAATTTCATGAGTTTCCAAAATAAAATGCACGTGAGAGTGGAGCAAAGGTGCAGTGCACAAAGTTGGGCTCCCAATGTGGCCATACATATGCACATTCTTCAAAAAAGAACACCACTGAATTAATTTTATACTTCAGAGAGCCCAGCAGGAGAGCTCTGCCCTGTCCACCGTGTCAGACACAAGTCTGGCCTGAGAGGGGGATTCAAATAGAATTAAAATGCCCAATTATTCAAGAGCCCTCAAGGCACAGCTGAACTTCTCACCTTGCCTCACCTTCATGACACTGCACACAGTAGTTACAGCAGCACTGAGGCTTGCATCTCAGGCGCTGGTCCCTGCCTCCCTCTCTCTCTTTTGCTCTCTTTGCACCCAGAGCGATGAAGAGGAGTGTGGGAATGATTTATGTGCCATTGTGAGGAGGCACTGAGTGCTCCGCTTCCAGCTCCACAACATCAAGCTCAATTTAGCAGAACTTAATTAAGCGCACCCTAAATAATCAGCTTTAATTGATATTCCAGCTAACTGATTAAGAGTTAACAAGAAAACAATGGGCACAAAGAAAATGAATTAGATGCCCCAGTGTCTTTGCTTGTTCATCTCTAATTTTGAGGACATGCAGCGCTGTTGCATTTCCGTGTAACCAGGATACACAGTGAAAGAAGGAAAAATGAATCCCACTGATGCTGTGCAAAATCATGAGCATATGAATATTCATGCAAGCCTTCTGTCCACAGGAAGTGATAAATACATCTCACTTTAGCTGATGCTGACTCAAATGGAGTGCTGGGGGCACAGTCAAAGAGATAAAAAGAGAAAGAGAGGAACATGAAGACATCAAGGAAAGTGGTACAGATGTTTGCTTTTAGGGAGTGCTGCAATTTTTTCAACGTTTCATTTGATTGCATTTATGTGCTTTAGCAATGCAAATCATTTAACATATGTCAGTACAGCTTGAAAATGAACTTAGAGGGAGAGGCACACTGTGTAACCATTTGCAGGAACATAGAGAGGTGCAGGTCTGTACCCTGGGGCTCACTGCCCTGATTTCACCACTTTGCAGCTAGAACACCTGAACATGCAGAAGCCTCTGTATCCCTTATCTCTGCATCATGTCCAATAGTTCAGGTACATGAATTCCCATTACAGGCTACTGTGTAGCTCTATGACCCTTTAGCTCCAACACCCACAGCAGGCCTTGTAGGTCAGCCTGGGGCAAACAGTCAACTGGACGTAACTCTCTGCGGCTAAGATGGCTCTATTGGTTTTGAAGTGATTTAACAGAAAAAAAAGCCATGCAGTGGTTTTAATAAAGTCATGGGGATATTATAGCCTACTAAAAATGAAACATGTAATATCTGGAAACGCTGACTAACTAAAATAATAATAAACAGTAATTGGAAGAATATAAACACTAGAGCAAAACTTTCATAAGAACAGGAATTTCAATGGATAGCCTGACATGTCACATTTTACAATGATACTATGAGTCAGGTGCAGCAAACTATACAGGAATATTATAAGTCACTTAAGTAGAATAATAAGTTATAAGATTATATATATTATAACAGGGAGATGCTTTTAAGTACGGTGGTTTTCCCAATGCCTATTGCTATCTTACTAATGTTAATGTTTATTTTCTAGTAGCCTACAGTAGGCTGCAGCTACATGTCTGACGACAAACGAGAACAAATCGAGGACGGCTACGTTAACGGTTACAGTGGCAAACATGCAATTGCAGTAATAAACACAAGCTAAATACTGGGGGCATTTAACCCCCGCCTCAACCGGCATCCCAGCGCTTCCTGCAGGAGCCGAACAAGCAGCTAAATCCTCACCTGAATTTTCCGTTAAGTAGGAAAACCCTTTCACGAACAGAAGCAAGCCGCCGAACAAGCATATCTGGATTAAAACCAACTCCTTTCGCATTTTCCGCTTCGCTTTGACCCTCTTCTGCTTCGGAATCACTTGCGTCGGCCGATTCAGGAGTCGGATACCCGGCAGAGACATCCCCTCAGCCGCTGACACATCCATGCGGATCCCCGAATTTAAAAAAAAGAAAAGAAAGTAAAAAAGAAAAAAGGGGGAAGAAACGAGTAACCCCCCTTTATTTCGCTAGCAATTAACTTAGCTCCCGGGAACGGGTGAAGAGAAGTACAAGGGAGGGGTTTCAGGGGAACAAGGGGGATTTTTCCCCCTTGGTTTTGTTTTTCAGTGGGAAATTGGTAGCACCGATGCTGCCAGGGCTGTCTAACAAGAAGGGTGAGCGTCTGAGCCGGGGTTGTCTTCTTATGTCATGTTGAAATGTGGTTATGGAAGTAGTGAGGCGGAGGATGGCCGCACGAGCTCTCTATGGATGCCTCCGTCTGCTGCGCGTGGAGGGAGCGAGATACTGAGAAGGGGGTGCGCGTGGGCGTGCACGCGCACACGCTGACTGAAGTGAAACCCAGGTGAACAACTTGTACTGATTATTTACCGATAATGGAAAAGCTCTAGTATGTTCAACTCAATTCAGTTTTATTTGTTAAGGAGTTAAGGTTGACAAAAGTCGTCTCAAGACACTTTACAAAGAAAGGTCTAGACCTTACGCTCCAGGGCCAGGGCAACCTGCAGAAAAGTACAAGGAGAGAGAGAGGACACACTGCGGGAGAGAGGAGACACAAAGTTAGTGATGTGTAATGATGGCATATACAGTAGATGAATGGACAGAGAGGAGGGGAGAGGGGAGGACAGGAGCACCACACCTTAGGGCGACCCTCAGTCTAGGTCTATAACTAAAGGATGGTACACCAAAACAAACTTATCCTAGAATGCAGGTCCAATAATTTCATAAACAGCACTACAGGGGGAGCAAGTGAAGGCCATCCTGTTGACTAGAAACCACTGGTACGGTTAAATATACTCAGTGGCAACACGATAGATCAGGCCCCCAGTTTGCTTGCCATTACCAAGATGGCTGTCAGTCTTATCCCTGTTCAGCCACATTAGTTGTTATGATGCCATGAAATATCAGAAGACATATAGCAACATGCTAAGCACCTTTCTACTGCCCCTCACTGTCCTACTAGGATTGTATTGAAAACAAAAAATATTACATTAATCTAAGAATAAGCTTTATCAAAAAGGAAAGTCTTAAGTCTAATCTTAAAGGTAGAGAGGGTGTCCACCTCCCGAACTGAGACTGGGAGTTGGTTCCATAGGAGAGGAGCTTGATAGCTAAAGGCTCTGCCTCCCCTTCTGTGGACTCTAGGAACCACAAGTAAACCTGCACTGTGAGAGCGAAGTGCTCTGTTGGGATGATAAGGCTCTATGAGGTCTTTAAGATACGATGGAGCCTTGTCATTTAGGGCTTTGTATGTTAGGAGAAGGATTTTAAATCCTATTCTGGATTTTACTCTGGCTGCAGCATTTTGGATTAACTGGAGGCTTTTTAGGGACTTTTGGGACATCCTGATAGTAAAGAGTTAGTCCAGCCTGGAAGTAACAAATGCATGGACCAGCATCACTTTGAGACAGGATGCTCATGATTTTTACGATATTGCGTAGGTGAAAGAAGGCAGTTCTACAGACTTGGTTTATGTGTGATTTATATGTATGCTCAACAACTGTACAAGTAAATGTATACTACTATGGCATATATACATTTTTCTGGTATTTTTGGAGTTAAGGTTGACAGTATTTAAATCTGCATCCATTTTTTGCCATTTAAGGTCATTGCAAAAATAAAAACAAAAATGCTGACATATCAGTTCATAAAATGAATGGTGAACAAGTTCAGTTTCAGAAACAGCATTAGCATTCAAATGGAGTGCTTTTTATTCTCAGTAGTTTGCTCTGGTCATGTAGCACAATGTTTCATCGTGTTCACAAGCTAGCTGCTAACTTTGGTGCCAGTTTGGTACTTAGAAGGTGGAATACATTGGGTTTAACATTTTTTGCTGCCTCTTGTAGCAAAACGGTAAAATTGCCACAATAAAACCAAAACAGTTACACATAATATTTTTATATATCATTTTTTTAATCTTCAATTTGTCTTAATTGATTTTATTATGGTTTTAATGCTTGTTTTAAATAGTTTGTCCTTCTTTGCGTGTGTAAAGCACTTTGAATTGCCTCTGTGTATGAAATGTGCCATATAAATAAAGCTGCCTTGCCTTATAAAAATTAGTGATCAGTGCAGCTTTAATATATTTAAAGTACTCAGTAAGTAGATTTTAATAAACAGATCCTTGAGTGAAACTTCTTGAAATGAAATGTAGTATTTATCAAATATGAACATGTAAAATTATGTACTTGGACACATTTTTATGCTATACAAGGCAGCTCTGGGTGATAGCCAGTAGTTATGTAATTTTAAATGCGTTTTCAGAATACAATGCAAGAACCTTTTGAGTACATGTCTACTCACTCAGGTATAAAACCACACTCATGACATACTGTATACAGCAGCTTAAGCATACATAAAAACAATGCAATTTTGACATGAAACCCAAAAATTATCAACAACAACAACAACAACAAAAAAAAAAAACAATCACAAACTGTGAGTAAAATGGAGACTATGTGCTTTTCACTGCCCTCTTCTGGGAATGTCTTTTAGTGATTATACAGCAGCTGATGCATGCTAGAAATTTACATACTGTATTGCTGAATAATAATGATAAATTATATTTGTAAACCTGGATTGTTTTCTATAGCCTTACTAGTTACTACTTACCACTCACCCACTGAAACATACATAAACCTTGTGGGCAGCTGCCAAACACCACTGTACTGTGATGTCTTCCAGGCCAACAGTAACAATGTTATGTGTCAGTATCTTTGCCAAAAGTGAATTACATTCTCCCCTGAACATGGATTAAAGGCTGTTTGTCTCTCTGCAGTCATTTGGTCTAAAATAAGAGGTGGGAGAGTCACTGCAACAAATCATTCATCAAGAAAGGGACAGTTTAAATGTAATATTTTATTTGGTTACACAATAGTAGTTATGTCATAAGGGGTGATTTTACTTGTTCCTGGTTGTATGTGCCATCCACTCGTTGACTGCATATCTATCTCCACAGACAAGGACCATACATTTTGTATGGTCTGTCTGCTATTTATGATTTTTGTATGCAATGGGTGACACAGAACCTTAGGATAATGGGAAATACTTAATCCTGGCCAAGTGGGTTTCTTTATTGTCAGGCCCAGGGTTTCATATAAATAGCACTGGAAACTTTCCAGCAAGAATGGAAAAAGTTGTCAGGGCTCAAGGCAACTGGTTTAATTGTACTTGTTTAACCCTTTGGCGCATAGGGCTAAGACTGATCAAACAAAACACAAGGAAGGCAGGGAATGAAAACAAGACATGTGGCCATGAGCCCAACATCATATTTGGAAGAAAATTAATGCAAATCAAACAAGAGTTCTTCCACAATCATGAGTGCATCACCTATTTTTAAGCATCCTACAGAATGAAAATTCTTGTGGCAATCCGGAGTCTGGAGGCCTTAAAGCTACTATGAAACAAGGCCAGGGTAACGTTCAAAGAGAGCTTGGGCACTGGGCACAGAGTTAATAAACAAGATGAAATAGCAACCTCTGAGAGGCACACAAAAGTAGGAAGGAGGAGAGAGGTAATAAATTAAATCCAGTTAAATTGTTTTGCCATAGCAAAGGACGCTCTCACTCTCATTCACTTATACAAATATGCAAGATAATTTGTAGACAAGACAAACTAGAAACTGTGTGGTTTCAGATGTAAGAGAATGATTGGAATTTAACCCACTTTTCCCAGGTCAGTGACACCAAACCCTCTGCACTGCCCTGCCCTGCAGCTCAGGGCGTCCATACAAAGACACACAAACAGACATGCTGGTTTGAAACACGCAGGTGATCCTATAGACAAACTGTGAACATCTGCCCTACCCAACACTCCCTGTTCTCACCCTGTTACAGCTTTGATCAGCTGCAGCCCTCTCAGATGTTTGATAGAGTACATCAATAATCCAAGGCCTTGCTTACTACTTCGTCCTCTCCCACTGTAAAGTCATGCAGTCATTGCAGAGAAAAGCTGCAGCTGTAGCCCAATTTTAGGTAGTACTAAGGCTAACTAGCTAGCAGACATATTTGGGTCAAGTCTCCCCTTTTCTAGAGCTGACTAGTCTAGGCCACAGTAGCTCCTCTTCCTTTCTTGCTGCTCTCCACCACAACATGGAGAAACCTCAGCTCAGCACCAGTGGAGAAAGGCAGAGAAAGAGCAGGAGTAGTATGTAATATGGAGAGCCAGGAATAGCTTGGTTAATAATAATAAAAAAAAAAAAAAGTTAGAGTTGGGACAGTACAAGTCAGGGAGTGATGCTGAAAGAAGAAACAAGGACAAGTATCCTTTATCACATTAAACAAGCAGATTAAAACTGTGGCATATAAAAAACACAAACACAGCATGGCTCATTTTTTTCTACCGACGTCTTTATAAAACAACAACAAAAAGTACATTCAGATCTGTCAAATGACAAGAGTCCAATGTAATAATTAAAGACATTAACAAATAGCAGATTTGATGCCAAAGCCTGCCCAGCCACACTGGTACCAATGTTCACTAACTCTCCCCACAGAGGTAAAGCACAGGTAATGGAGACAAAGTGATTTGTAGACACTAAGCTGAAGGTACTCAATCTCAGACTGAAAATTGACTACACCTGCAGTCAAATGTTTAATACAAGTGTGTAGAAAGGAACAGTTTGCAACATTTTAGCATTTAAGTCCAGCTAACAATCAATTTTTTTTCATTGGCTTTTGCTGTGAAATAGTTACTAATATTTTATTTTATTAAAGAAAGATAAGAGTTAACTACACTGTGTGCACAATTATTAGGCAAGTGAGTATTTTGACCATATCATCATTTTATCCATAATTTCCAACTCCAAGCAGTATAAACTTGAACGCTTATTGGACTTAATGCATATCAGGTGATGTGTTTTAGTGTAACGAGGGAGGGTGTGGCCTAAGGAGATCAACACCCTATATCAAGGTGTGCATAATTATTAGGCAGAATGTTCTCCTCTGGAAAAATGGGCCAAAAAAGAGATTT